TCTCCTCCTCCTCCTCTTCCTCCTGCTTCACATTATTCATAAACCAGCCATTGTGGTGTGCCCCTGTAATCCCAGCACTTGGGAGGCTGGGAGTTTGAGGGCAGCCTGGGCTGCATAGTGAGTTCAGGCCCGCTGAACTACATAACAAGTCCCAGTCTCAAGAAAAGGAAGAAAAGCAATATTATTCCTTTGTCTCAGTGCTGGAGCTGGGACCCAGGGCCTTGCCAGTGCTGGGCAAGTGCTCTCTACCCTTCCTCTACACTCTGGGACCAAGATACATTACTTTTATTTTTGTTTTTTTAGTGGAAATTGAACTCAGGACCTTACGCTTGCCGGGCAGGTACTGTGTCATGAGCCATCTCCCTGGCAGAAATATTCCCTTTAGTATCATTCTCATTCACCCTTCACTGCGTAGGATATAGAGTAAACTTTATAAGTAAGGATCCCATGAGAGGTGGCTGAGATAGGCTTCAGGTGCCCGCCCACCCGCAGCCTGGCATGGATACGCACTGCATGGGTTCCATGCGGTACATCAGGGTCAGAGGGAGGCCCTGCTCCGCCCCCTGGGTTCCAAGTCCCCCTGCCTGGTGCTTAGTTCACAGCACTAGAAGGCAGGTCTGAAAATCGAGTTCCAACTCTGTGCCACGTGAGATGCCTCTCCATGTGAGTGTGCCGTTGCCTTCGTGTGAGTGAGACTGAGCCGAGCCCATTGTGTGAATGACAGGAAAAGCAGTGTGACCTTGGGTGATACACAGTCCAGGCTCGGCGACCACTGCTTCTTGTGGATTTTCCTCGTGTTCCCCTTAGCTGTTAGTGTCCTGTACTCAGGGAGGTGGGCAGAGGTCTCTTTCCAGCTGTGACAGCGACAGCTCGGTGATGTGAAGAGACAGCTGTCCCCAGGGCGGGAGGAGCCGTGAGCACCGTCCGCCCCTCCTCCTCCTCCTCCTCCCCTCCCCTGGGGAAATAACAGGTTTTACAGCGGCAGGAGCCCAAAGGTCTGCTGCCATTCCCTGGAGCCCAGGCACGGAATCTACCGCAACATGCTGGGGTCAATGCACAGGCTGCTCTCCGATTCTCAGCAGAGCTCCGGATCCGGCTTGTACAGCATATAACCTCAGAGTCTATTTTAAGAGAGTCACTCACAAACTTACTTTGAACATCCTTTTTTTTTTTTTTTTTTTCTATCCGACTGGAAGAACTGATATTTATTTATTTATTTAGGTGGAACAGGGGATTGAACTCAGGCCCTTGCACTTGCCAGGGAAGTGCTTATTCCACCGAGCCATCTCCCCGGACCTGAAACTGATATTTAAAGTATCCAAATAAATAGAAATGGTCAGAGCCAGGCATGGTGGCGCACCCCTGTAATCCCAGCACTTGGGAGGCTGAGGCAGGCGGATCACTGTGAGTTTGAGGCCAGCCTAAGCTACAAAATGAGCTCAAGGTCAGCTTGAACTATGTAACAAGATCCTGTCTCAGAGGGACAAATAAATAAACTCTCAGAATTCACCAAAAGGTACTGAGAATGGTAGGCAGCACCCCTTTCCTGGAAAGATGTTGAGGACAAGACAGTCCCTGCTTTGGTCTAGCTTTGTCATGTCACATTACTGGTGCAGCGTCTACTCAGCAGGTTCTGGATGGCGAGATGCTAAGGAATACAGGGACTAGGGTACAGGGCAGCAACACAGCACCTGCCTGGCAAGCACGAGATCTGAGTTCGATTCCTAGCACCAAAAAAAAAAAAAAGGAAAGATAAGATGCGAATGCAGTGTGATCAGTGGAATTTTGGAATCAGTGTAACCATGTGGTTCAATGAGTATTGAACTATGAATGAGTTCTTCCTTCTATGAACAACTTCCTTCCTGGTAGATACAGAACCCTCCAGAGAGTCATTAGTGAGACCCCTTAGCTCAGACCTCAACTGTTAGCAGAGGACCAACACAAACTTTGAAAAATGTGACATAAAATTCTGTGTGAAAAAAAAATAAATACCGACAACATGCTAAACTGCTACCAAACGCCTCTGATGATGGAAACGATGTGGCACATGTACATGAGTGTGTTCTTACCTCAGTAGTCAGAAGAGTAAAAAATGTGTTGTGCATCGTTTTGTGAAGGGATTTTGTTTCTTCCCCATGCTCCTTGTCTCAAGTTGAAAAATCCTACAAAAGCCTGGTACAGTTGAGTTTCCTTTGCATCATCTCTCTGGAAAGTGTTGAAAGACTGGAGATTTTTGGCTGGAAAGAAGAATGGTGGAAAAGAAGCACTTTCTGCTGACCTTCTGCCTGCTTTGCCCTCCTTGCTGACCTGCCGTGTCCTTCTGATCGCTGGGTGTCCTCCGGACACCACACATGGCCACCTCAGACCTGGCCGTCCCTCAGGGTCGGGTCGGTTCTGATGCCCAGGGGGAGGGTATGGCAGAGCAGAAGTTTGACAGGACTAGGAGATGCTCAACCAGTGCAGGGCCTTAAAATAGGTTGGATTCTACCTTTTTTTTTTTTTTAAAAAAATGTATTTGGTACAGGTCTCACTATGCAGCTTGGACTCATAGTGATTCTCCTGTCTCAGCCTCTCCAGTACTGGAATTGCAGGCAGGAGCCACCACACCTGGTCTCAGTGGCGGGCTCAGCATGTATGTGGTGCTGGGAATCAAACCCCAGTTCCTGTGCTTGCCTAAGCAGGCATTTAATCTGCTGAGCTAACTCGCCAGTCCAGTTGGATTCTATTTTGAGGCCCAGATAATTTTTATGATCTTATGAGTATAAATCTATATATTTTCCCATATTTAAGAAACATTCCTTCTATTAGAAAGGTATACTGGTTTATTTATTTATTTTTTTATTTTTTATTTTTTTATTTTTTGGCGGAACCGGGGATTGAACTCAGGCCCTTGTGCTTGCCAGGCAAGCGCTTATTCTACTGAGCCATCTCCCCGGCCCCTGGTTTATTTTTAATACCTTGGAAAATTCACAACAGATAGAAACCCCTCCCCCTGAGCCAGGGAGATAGCTCAGTAGAATAAGCACTTTCCTGCAAGACCAAGGTCCTGAGTTCAATCCCTGGTATCGGGGAAAAAGAAACTTAATTACTAATGTGTTGACATTTATCTGCCCAACGCTATTTTCTATGAGTGGTACTATTTTGCATTTTTTTATTTTTTGTATTTTAAGGAAAGGTCTACAGGGTGTTCAGGGTCTCACTAGTAGATCGGATTTGTAGTGATCCACTTATTTACAGCCTCCCAAGAGCTGGGATTACGGGCTTGTGCCATCACGCCCAGTCTCAATTGCTGTCTCAGTGTGCCCTGCGGGCAGGGCCGACACAGGCCCAGGAATTGAACCCTGGGCCCCTGGGCCTGCTTGCAGGCTCTTTAATCTGCTGAGCTATTTGGCTGACTCTTTAGTTTGCATATTTGTTACCTAACTGTACGTGTAATTTTTATTCCCACTTGTTTGATATAGAGCATGGTATGCCAAAAATTTCTATGTGAAAACATGTTTTTTTGACACACTGCTGAGTGACTTTTCCAGAAGGGCAGTGCCCTTTCATACTCATAACTGTGTATAAGGGTCTTACCAATGTTTTTAATTTGTAATTTAATTTCTAAAAACACTATCTCCTTAGTGAAGCAATTGTAGTGTATCATTATTAAACTTGAATGAAAGCCCAACTGAACTATTAGAGCTTCTGTGAAGTGTGTATCAGCCCATCTGATAATGGTTTCCCAACAATGAAAGTGACACAAATTTGTCACACAAACAAGACAAGACCACGCAGATAAGTGCTGGCTACTGTGGCTCTCATCCCACACACCAGAGTGATAGCAGAGAGCAGAAAGGAGTGGGTGGTCGCAATGTTTGCCCACTTGTCCTCGCCCGCTCTCTGAGAGTCCTAACCTCTGAACCTGGAAGGGGCTGTGGTAGCTGTCGGGGGTGGACCCTTCGGGACTCGGCCTTTGTCTGGCCTTGCCTTGTGTGTCCGGCAAATTAGAGAGAAGGGTATTTAGGAGATCACAGCGTGAGTTAGAACATATTGTCATGTTCGTAGGAAATAGCAACATAAAATCTCTTTGAGTGCCAACACTGAGCTTTGTGGTTCCTCTGTGAGAATTTGGAAGCTTCCTCCCCAGCAGAAAATGAAGAGCGTTTACCTTCCCTGCAGGCTGTGCTGGCTGCGATTGTGCTCAGCAACGTCATTCCCTACCTTGAAACCATTTACAACCTCCCCAGCCTGTGGAAGCGGGACCAGTATGACTGTGTGAGTACCACAGCCCTGGGCCAGCCACCGAGGGGAGGCCTCGGGAAGGCTGGAGAGGAGAAAGGAAGCAAGCGAAGGAGTCAGCACAGGCAGGAGAGTCTCCGAGCTTTGTACTTAAAAGGAGAGTCAAAGTTAGTACATGGAGACATGGCGACCTCCTTCCAGGATAAGAGACACAGATCCTTTCTTAAAACTTGTTTGTTGCGGCTTTTGAGGCAGGGTCTTGTTCTGCAGTTCGAGCTGACCACAAACTTGCTGTGTTGCCCAGTCTGGCCTTGAACTCCAGGGTATCCTCCAGCCTCAGCCTCCTGAGGGCTGGGATCACTGGCATGTGCCACCACTCTTGGCAGAGGACACAGATTTTTTTTTTTTTTTTCAGAACGGGGGATTGAACTCAGGCCTTGCACTTGCCAGGGAAGCGCTTATTCTACTGAGCCATCTCCCCCCTCCTTTTTTTCCCTCCCCCCCAACCAGGCACAGATCTTAATAAGGGGAGAAGGGGGATCCTTTGAGGAAGAATAACAGCTGGGGAATGATAGAAGGGGGATGACACTCCCCTGCTCTTCAGAACACATGAGCAAAGGACAGGAAGGGAAAATAACAGGAAATAAAGTATAGGGGAGGGGTCAGGGAGATGGCTCAGTGGAATAAGCACTTCCCTGGCAAGCGCAAGGGCCTGAGTTCAATCCCTGGTTCCGCAAAAAATAAATAAATAAATAAATAAAATAAAATAAAATAAATAAATACAGTATAGGGGATGGACTAGGAAGAGGGGAGGAACCAGCAGAGTTAGGGAAAGGGGCAATTTCTACAGCCAGGTCCCTGAAGGGATAAGAGGGGGTGCAGCCCAGGCAAAGAGAGAGCTCCTCTTCTGGAGCCTGGAGATAGCAGCAAAGCCTGGAGCCAGGGGTCGGCCAGTGGCTGGGCAGGGGGAAGACATATTAAGGGACTCTGTGCCTCTCCTTCCTTTGAAGACAAGGGCCAAGGTCACCTGCCCAGAGCTGTACAGAAGGCCAGTGGGTAGGGCCTTGCAGCCGTGTGAAAGATTTGCCTAACTGTTACAAGTCCTCAAGGTACCACCCCCCCTTGGGGGTCACACAAAGGATCACCAGGCCACATGGCTGTGGGGGTTTTGTCTCTATGCCATGGGTACAGGCAGAGGGCAGAGGGAAGGGGACCGTGGCACTGCCATATCCCTCCCGCGAGTATTCACAGCCATCTTTCTCCCTCCAACGCATTCCCACAAGGTCACCTGGATGGTGACGTTCATATCCACAATCTTCCTGGGACTGGATGCGGGGCTACTTGTCTCGCTTCTTTTCACCTTCTTCATCATCACCGTGCGATCACACAGGTACTTGGACTCAGGGAGAAGGTGGGCCAAGGCAAGGGGAGGCCCCCCACCTAATGGTAGGTGCGTCTCCTTCCAGGACAGAGATTACCTGCCTGGGCCAAATCCCCAACACCAACATCTACAAAAGCATCACTGACTACCGGGAGGTAAGGCACCCACCCGACCTGCTCCTTGGGCAAGGGATGGAGTGGACTGAGCCCCCGCTGTTGTCAGCTGTCTGTTTACAAAGGAGGAGGAAGTGAGGCATAGGAGAGAGGTGGGTTCGTTTTTTGTTTGTTGGATGTATTTGGTGCAGGGTCTTATTACAAAGCTCAGACTTGTAGTGATGCTCCTGTTTTCAGTCTCTCCAGCACTGGGATTGCAGGTATATGCCGCCACACCCAGACTCCTTTGCTCATCAGGCCCAGGCTCCAGGGGCACGGGGCCGGCAAGGCATGCTGGACCTGGGATCGAACCCTGGTCCCTGTGCTTGCCATAGCAGATGCTTAGTCTGCTGAGCTATCTTGCTGGCCTAAGTCCTTAGGACACTGCAGGAAGAGCTGAGGTTGAAATGCACTTCAAGGAGAGGAGAGGAGAGGCAAGATAGAGGAGAGATGGAGGGGAAACAAAACAGAAAAGAAGGGGGTCAAAATGAGAGGGAAGAATCTCCTGGTTCTTGCTTCCATCAGGGAAAGATGCAGATTGTCTCGTTTTACTTCATAGAAGGACTGAGAGTCTGGTGAAGTGGTACACATCTGTATTGTCAGCACCCAGGAGGCTGAGGCAGGAGAATCACAAATACAAGTCCAGGGCCAGTGAGGTAGCTCAGCAGACTAAGCATCTACTTTGGCAAGCACAGGGACCAGGGTTCCATCCCTGGTCCCTCAGGCTGCGATGGCCCGCCCCTGGGGCCTGCGGAGCTGGTGAATGAGTCCGGGCATGGTGGTACACGCCTGTAATTTTCAGCTGAGGAGTCTGAAAACAGGAGGATCAGTATAAGTCTGTGAGACCCTGTACCAAATACATAAATGAAAAGAAAAAAAAAAATGAGGCCGGTTAGAGCAGCTTTGCAAGACCTAATCTCATAAAACGTGCTGCAGATGTAACTAGGTTCAGAGATCTTTAGTTCAGCGCCCAGTACTGAAAGACAAAACACAACAGAAGGTCTCTACATCCTGCCTTGCAGTTTACAACCATCCCTGGGGTGAGAATCTTCCAGTGCTGCAACGCCATCACGTTCATCAACGTGTACCACCTAAAGTACACACTGCTGAGAGAGGTGAGCGCCGTGCCACGCTGACCCCCGCCTGCTGCCCGCCCTGCCCCTGCCTTGCCCCACGGCCTGCTGCCGCTGCTGTCTTTCAGCTCGGCATGGTCAGTGTGCCTCTCAAGGAGGAGGAGGTGTTCAGCCTGTTCAATGAAAGTGACACCAGCCTGGAGGGAGAGAAGATCTGCAAGTGTTCCTGCAACTGTGAGGACCTGGAGCCACCGCCCCGGGTGAGGAACGCCTCTGCCTTCGCAGATTTGTCTCCGGGTCTTGTACCCAAGAGCTTCACTTTGTTGTTTTGTTTTAGTCGCCAGTACTGGGGATGGAGCCCAGGTCTTCTGCACTGAGCTGCCTCCTCAGCCCTCTTTCGTTTTGAGACAGGATCTTGCTAAACTACCCAAATTGGGCTCAGACTTGAAATCCTCCCATCTAAATCTCTGTAGCACTGGGATGACAGGTATCTGCCACCACGCTTAGCTAATGGCACTTTTTTTTTTCTTTTTGAGACAGGGTCTTGCTAGAGTTCAGACTCTACTGATCCTTCTGTCTCAGCTTCCGGTGCCGGGATTCCAGGTGTGCATCCCAGCTCCAGGGCCACACGATGCTTGTGATACCTGGGATTGCACTTGGGATCTTGCGCTTACCAGGCAGGCACTTATGCTGCCAAGCTATTGCCCCAGCTCCATAATGGCATTTTTATTTTATTTTTAATGTATTTAGTACAGGTCTACACGGTCTCACTACACAGATCAGACTGCAGTGATCCTCCTGTTTTCAGCCTCCCAAGCAGCTGGAATTACAGGTGTGAACTACCATACCTGGTCTCAGTCGCCGTCTCAGCGAGCCCCAGGGGTGGGGCTGGCACCACTCGCCCAGGATCTATCCCATTCCCTGAGTCTGCCTAAGGAGGTGCTTTAGTGCACCGAACTATCTGGCCAGCCCTCATCACAGCGTTTAAAAAAAAAAAAAAATGGAAATGAAAGATTTCTACCCAGAAATGAAGACACTGGTGCCTTCCCAGCTCAGGCTGGGATGTGAATGTACTGGAAGGAAATGTCCGACGACTGCTGGCGATGAGTTTCCCAGCCGCCGCAAGCTGCTCCCTAGCAGTTCTTCTTTCCCGGGCTTTTACTTCCTAGCTTTGCATTTCTGAAAATAAGTGACTTAAAGATTATTTTCGGATTCCAACTTGGGCAGGGTCCAAGTGGCCTCTGGTGTCTGTCTGTGACCAAGGCCATGATGGTAGGGGAGGAAAGCGGGCTGAGTAGGAGGAGAGAAGCACAGGCCACATGGCTGGTGAGCTAGCTCAGCGGGCTAAGCACTGGCTTAGGCACACGCAGGGATGGAGGATCCCTGGCACCACTGTTGCACCAGCTCCACCCCCAGGCACACTGAACAGGCCACTGAGACTGTGGCGCATGTGGTGCTGGGGAGGCTGAGAACTGGATGATCACTAGGAGTCGGAGCTGTGTGGTAAGACCCTGTACCAAATACATTCAAAAAAAGAAAGAAAGAAAAAAGATAAGCACAGGCTATGCAGATGGGAATTTAAATTTTATTTGTTTATTTATTTATTTGTGTGTGTGTGTGTGTGTGCGTGCGTGTGTGGCCAGCTCAGCCCACCAGGGGGCGGGGCTGGCTGGCATGTGGTGCTGGGGGATTGAACCGCGGTCCCTGTGCTTTGCATAGCTTGTTCTAAGTAGATGCTTTAGACTACTGAGCCATCTCACCAGCCCCAGATGGGAATTTGACAGCACCCACATGTCACTGTAGCTGAAGAGATGACAAAGTGCTCCTTGTTCCCACCCGGGCTTGGTCTACATAGTCCTTCCCTCTAGGTGCTCATTTCTAGCTTCAGGGCCTCACACTGATAGACTGGTGTCCATCCTATACCCTCAGGCACAGCACCCTGTACACCCGTCCACAGCCACGTGCAGGCGCTGGGACACACTCCTGTCTCCTGCCCCACAGGGACCCACGAACCGCCGAAGCAAGTGCCTTTAGACAAGTGGTAAACGGTTGAACACATATTGCTGGATGACCAGTTGGAGTCCAAACACACTGCACGAATAACGTGCACATTTGACAGCAAAAAGACCTCCAGAAATCAATATGACACGTGTTGCCACTGCACTACAAGCAGGCTCCAAGGACAGGAAGTGCTCATTTAGAGAGAGCTTGATGGCTGGGCATGGGAGATGAGCCCAGCGGTTCTGCCGGAAACGGGAGGCACAAGATACTCAGTCCAGGATTCGGGGTTGATCTTCCTGAGAAAGACAGTGTAACTATACATGACTAAATGTAGATTTTTGTACATGAATAAGTATAGATTGTTCTACATGAAGACATCCCCTGAAAATAAGCCCAATTGTATCTTTTGGAGCAAAAATAAACGTAAGAACCAGTCTTGTTTGGCAGAAATAGTTTTTAATCTTCAGCATTTTTTTCTTTCTTGATAGTATAGAAATGACTGAAATGACTTAAAAGTGATTCAATAGGATAATGAACTACACAACATAGTCTGTGTGTTGTTATCTTTTTTTTTTTTTTTTTAAGACAGGTTCTCATTCTATAGCCCAGGCTGTCCTTGAACTCAGTGGTCTCCTTGCCTCAGCCTCCCAAGTGCTGACATTATAGGCATATACCGCCATGCCTGGCCTGCATAGTGCCACCTTCTAAACTGTATATTTAAGGTCTAACACTTCTAAGACTTGGAGTAAGGGGAGACTGGCAGGAGATCCGGAAGTCAGAAACTTCGTGGCAGGCAGGGATGAACTTGTGCTGGGTAGAGATTTGGATTGACGTTGGGTGGGAAAAAGGGATTTTCTGCTTATGGTTATGCTTGGGACAAAGAGGGTAAGGTAGGAACAAATATAAAGTTCCCAGGATTAGATGTTTGTCCTGGGAAGAAAGGGCAGGCAGGCTCGGCCCAAGGGAATTGTGGGAAAGAGGGGCATGGACAGCAGGTGAGGAAGCCAGCCGGAGGCTCTCAGAGGAGCTCCTGTGCCAGAAGAGCTTTCATCTGCCGCCCACAGGCCAGCCTGTGCCTGTCCCCTGCCCGCCTGGCCTCGGCGCCCTTCAGTCTTTGGGGCCCAGCTATCTCCAGTAATATTACCATCTATCAGGCCAGTTTTTGTTTATTTCTTGCATTTTTTTTTCTTCAATGTTAGCAAAATGATCAAACCTGGGACCTTATGCATGCTGGGCAAGTGCTCTTTCCGTGAGCAACCCCATTAGCGCCTATCTTTCAATTTTTTTGTTTTTTGCTTTTTTATTTTTGGCGGAACCGGGGATTGAACTCAAGCCCTTGTGCTTGCCAGGCAAGCACTCATTCTACTGAGCCATTTCCCTGGCCCCTTGTTTTTTACTTTTTAAAACTTATTAATCCACTGATCGGTTATGTCTGGGATTGAATCCAGAGCCTCCTGCATGCTAAGCGTCCGACCACTGAGCTAAACTTCCAACCCTAAAAATTATGTCACAATAATATTAGTATGATAACAGACTTCTTAAAACATTTGTTGGTTGTTATATTATTTTTTTGTTTGAAGACTTCACACTTATTTAATCTTCCTTCCAGCTTCCCATTTTGTGACTTTCAAAACTTTAAGCAACTTTAAGCTTTCATATCAGAAATGATTTTGGATTCTTTAGTTTCTGACGCGGCATGGTGCTTTTCAAATTCTGTCAGTGAGTCCCTGTAAGGGGTGGAGGACGTGTCACACTGAAGTCGGGCAGCTGCGACAGCTTCTCTCTCACCACTTTTCCGCCTTGTGCAGCCTTCTTGAGCAGAAGCTGCCAGTGCCCTCCCTGAGTGTCTAGAAGGCAGGGCCTACCGCACAACGCGCAAGGTGCTCAGCAGTCATTTTTCCCAGTAATCACAGATTTTTTTTTTTTTTTTTAAGAAAAGAAACACCACTCAAGATTAAAATGCTCAAGCAAATGAATTATTTTCTTTTTCAAATTAGGTGTACTGGTGCAATTTAGATACACAAAATGATCACATTCCTCATAGGGAATTTGTACCTATACATGATATATTCTGGTTCCCCCCTTTTTTAGGAATCCTTTTCATGTTGGCACGTCTGTAGAGCTCTCGTCCACTCGCATCGTTCCTTACTCTCTTCACGGACATGTGCCCGCCTCCCAGGAGGAGTCTGCCTCTGTGAACACACAGCCCTGTTCGCACCTCACATGTCCCTGTATTCCTGGTCCTTGGTAGTGGCCCTTTGCTTTAGCAGACACTCTGGGCCTATTTGCAGATAGAAAGGAGAGAGAGAGACAAAGACAACCCTGCCTAAGTAAACTTGTCTTCTTAAGAAAGCTTGGGGCTGGAGAGATAGCTTGGCAGTCTAAGTGTCTGCTTGGCAAGCACAAAGACCTGGGTTCACTCCCCAGTGCCACATGCCGAACTGGTCTCAGAGCCCCAGGTACGCTGTGGGGACCACTGAGACCAGGCATGGTGGTGCAAGCTGGGAGTCCCAGCACTGGGGAGGCTGAGGCAGGAGGATCACTATGAGTCTGAACTGTGTAGCAAAACCATGTACCAAATAAATTAAAAAAAAAAGAAAAAAAGAAAGCTTGGTAGAAAATTTAAAAAGGAAGGGAACCAAACAGGAAAGGTGCTTCACACTAAGTATTAGCTGGCATTGGAGACTCAAGGATCCAGGGATAAAGGAAAGGAATTAATCAATGAGGAGGGGCCAGGGAGATGGCTCACTGGAATTTGCACTTCCCTGGCAAGTGCAGGGGCCTGAGTTCAATACCTGGTACAGAAAAAAAAAAAGTTTCTTTTTCTTTTTTCTTTTCTTTTTTTTTTTTAAAAAAAGGCTTAAAATGTACTTTAATAAGTTGATGCTGTATTACTGCTCCATTTCTCAGAAAAACTCCAAATTTAAGGTATCAGGGATAAATCAAACATGGTACACCAATAAAAAATGCACAGCATAACTACCTAAGATAGGCAAGGCTAAGAGCTACTGTTAGACCTTCAGCATACAGCAACCCTATTCCCAAGATTGTACTAGGCCTATCAAGAAAAGCTGTGAACAGCAACATCATAAACACAAAAAATGTCATTT